TTCAAACGTAATACATTTAGCAAATTTTGCTTTTAAAATTGTTTAATCTACCTATATCGTAATAATACGCACATAGTCATCTACATATATTACTCACCTTCACGTTTATATACCCAGCTATATAAATCGTTTTTTTTACAATATCGTTTATAGGTCGATTGTCTGTGGTTGTATTTGTACGAGGGTAAGAGAAGGGAGTGACAAATCAGAATTGGCAAAATTCATGTTTTTCGTTTTAACGACGAAATAAACACGGGATTTTTAATTGTTTTAAGCGATAAAAACAAACACGTTTTAAACGCACGATGCGCCAACCTTGGGACAAACCACAGGGAGATACCTTAAATACCCAACAATCACACCTGCGATGCATATGGCACTCAGGTATCTATAGTATTCCATTGTCCCATACAAATAAAAATAAAAACGATTTTATAATAAATAAATAAAAATGCGAATCGCGAAAATGAAGAAATTTAAAAATTTTATAACTCAAATATGTATCTACATCGCCCATAACAGGAACTAATGTATTATTGATCATATTGTGCTAGATGTTACTTAGTTTGTTATAAAAAAACTATTGTGCAAACGGAGCGCAAAAGTCTTATATTGTTTAATCAGAACGTATTATTAATAGTGGTGAGCTGCTGCTATTGAACCTAACATTTATTTTACATGCACAATTTATTGATAATGGGCTCATTGTAATATTATATTCAACGCAGAGGAAATATAAAATTTAAAATCAGTATAATAGGTGTAGGTATGTTTAGAAAAGTTTTAATCAAATAGAAACACTCGATAAATTGTCAACGTGATAAATATATTGTACGCATATTATGAAGCAGACAAATTGTGATCGGTTCGTTTGTCACGATTGAAATACGTAAGTTTACGTGATTCACATCAATGCTATATTTATTTATTTGATAATATCGTGTATTTATTACGGCGACGACTGTGAACTAATCGAGATGAAAACCAATAATAATTATATGTCATAACAATATAGTCCATGATAAATTTTGAACTGTGCACACACGAAATTTGTGCGCAGTCGTGTATTGCACCGCTGCAGCTGCTGCTGCACGCGGGAGTCGTTGTCCGGTTTATCGCTTCTTGTCGTCGCGATCGGCCACGCGGGGGATACGATTCATTTCATTGTAAAACATAGGTATTATTCGTTCGTAATGATATATATATATTTTATTACCTCCCCGCGTACATCGATATCAATACCTTAACCTGTACAATATAATATACGTATAATAACAGTAGGCGGTAGGTATACCTACTGTATAAGTGTGTACCTACCGCATACCAACCGCTTATAAAAACGATTACGTCTGTGTATTAGGTATATACGAGTATTTATATGTATGCCCAATGTGTATACGTAATAATAATAACGATAATAATAATAATAGAATAATAATTATTATTTATTACATTTTATGGTGAAACCCTTTCTTTTGCCCCGCTGCCCGCGATCCCGGAAACCTCCGCGGCGTTGTGGACATTTGAAAATATTCCTCACAGAGGAATACAATATTGTTAAAAAATAATAATTATACGCGTGTATAATAATATTTTCATCGGCTATTGAGTTTGAATTTTCGCCATGCGTTAGATCGAAGTCGGCAGCGTTGCATTTGCCCGGGAAATTCAGCCATCTGTATTCTATATAGTATTATATTCTTTCTGTATTGAAACGGAAATGTTAGTTCTTTACATTACAAGGCTTTTACACGTTCACGATTATCATACACCATTATATTATAATGAAGTGATGTTTCTATTAATTTAGTGAACCAATTGTCTTAATGGTTTGGGGTAAGTTTTACGTTTATTAGTTTTATTACTAATAATTATAGCCATCCTTACGGTTTATCGTGTTAACTATACTTTTAGTCGTATTGATAACGAATAGCCCTATATAGTTGCTGTATTAACAGAAAACACATGTTAAATAAAAACAACTGTTCGTTTAGAAATTGAAACACGCTGCGGCCGGTGCACCTATATAAATATTTTAAGTAACATAGGATTATATTATGGCGTGTAAAAAGTTTCATTTGATAATATTATTATAAAAACCATTTTTTTTTTTTTTTTTTTTATAATGTAATTATTATTCTATTTTTCTTTGAAAATCTTGAAAAAATTCACCGCTAGTTGGTGCTATAATATTCAATATGCATGGAACGTGTGTTAAAAATGTTTTTGTGCGTTGAACTCTGCACGTAGATAAACTCTGATCTCAAATAGCAGAACTGTAGGAAGAAGTTATGGTTCTAGGCATAAAGCAAACGAACTAAAATTAATAAATTACATTACAAAATATAATATACATTTCCGATAGGGTTGTACAAATGCGTTTAACCGCCATTTGAAAATCAGAAAATAATGATGTTCCTTAACACGCGAAAAGGAGATCAATAAAAAAATTTAAATTTGGCTGGTGAATCTCATTCCCTGTTGAGATGATTTCCGCACTTGTTATATGCGTATTATTAAATAGGTAAATTCATCGATAAAGCTAATTAAATACGACAGTGTCTTCCTCCCACAAACTCACTCATTACGATCGAGAATTTCTGCGGTAGTAGTCGCGTGCGTGTTTTTCCAAAGTAGTTTTTTGAAAATTTATCCGGTGGCCCCGGGCGGTCGGTGGTTTGATTATGTTTACTGCAGTGGGCGTAACCTACGTGGAGAAGAGGAAAAAAAATTGTGAGAACGGTGCGCATCATTGTGAAGTGTTAATAATAATTAATCGACGGACCTATTGTTTCGGATGTCCGAGCCGTCGCCGAATGGTATCACGGGTGGTGGTGGTGGTGGGGGCGAAATCGTTATTATATTATGTTATTAAAACCGGTAATTTGACCGTGGCAAACGGAAAATTGCCGACGGCGGCTGCGGCAACGAGTGTATACGCTCGATGGCTTCTAATTATTATTATCATGTATAATTTTTCGTGTTTTTTCTCTCCGTATATTATAATATACGCATAACAATATTAATAATCGTCTTTATCTCTCTCTCTCGCTCACTCTGTACACTTCTTCCCTGAGAATATTATTATTAATATTATTATCGTGTAGTGTTTAACACGTTCACCGCGTAAATTATACACACAAAAACCTATGTAGATGCATCGTAAAATATTATGCGACGACGACGCGTCGTCGGCTGGAAATTTCTTCGCACCTCTCCGACACGTATGATAATAATAATAATAATAATAATAGTAATATTTTAATAACACGCCGGAACGCGCAAACCGCGTACGACGTTATATTATTATTATTATATTTTTCGTTTTATTATTATTATTTTTTTATTATTAAGCTCCCGCGGGCCGCAGCTTGTGTACGTGTGTGCGTGTGTGTGTGACGAAATCCATCGGCACGTTGTTATAACAACCGCTAATGGATCATAACCGGCCTCGGTCTTCACGCGCCTTCGTCGACCGGTTCGGCGCGGCGGCTCGCGAGTAGTATTTATAATAATAAATTATAATAATACGCGACGTGGCCTATTTATACGCTCGCGAGGGGCGCGACGAATTTTTTTTTCGAACCGTTTGACGATCGTACCGACCGTTTAGTAAAATAATAATCTAGCGCTGCATCGGTTAAATGTTTCTGTTATCTTCTAACGTCAATGGATTCTGCAAGAGTCACCGTGCAAATATTCGCGCGGACTTTTTATATTTCATTTAGAATTTTTGTATTTATCATAACGATATATATTGTTATGCATTTATTCAAAATTCAGAATTCTTCAAATCCTTCAATTATTTTCGGATCAATAGTAGATATTTCAAAAATGGAATTGGTTACGATATTGATTCGCGTGGCGCCTCTTCGAATTGTTATCGCGACATCATCGCAAACGGCGTCTTCCGGCGGATTTGGAATCTAAACAATAAATACATATATCTACACGTGTTGCTATCGGTTCGAGTAACGATATAGTCGACAAATTGACACGTGCCGCTCGGTCCAACACCCCGCTTTAGGACGACGATAAATAATTGACACTCACGATGAGACAACTCCGAACGCGGATTATCCGACAGGCTCGGCGTACATGTTACAATAATGAGCCGCCCTCTCACGACGAATCACTGTACGTCCTAATGGGTCTGTGATATTGTAATAATGATGTGTACGCACCACCGTTCTGGTGCAGTGTGGTGGCGATAGTTTTGCACCGCGAGGGTGCATCGATCGCAACGCCCTGCACGCCTCCTGCAAATCCGTTTGTTGCTGTGTACTGCAGTATACATACACACACAAAGTGATTCACCTAGTACGCTTCTCCCCTTTTTATTCTTCACTAATGTAGTTGTTCAAAATCTGAGTTTTAGAATAATTTAAGTAGGTATAACTTATTATTATAGTAAATTAACAAATTCTTGAGATTGTTTGTACCGAGTATATTTAAAAAGTGCTCTGCGGAAAATAACAATCTCCTGTTATCCATCGACTGATACACCCCTTTTTTGTACAGTAAATTATTTAATGGGTGATCGTCGTGAAAATTTCGAACGAATAAACCTTGTATGATAACTTCATAGCGACTACTTCAACAACTCTTGTGACCTAACCTAACCTATGGTGGTATACCTACAGCACTGCACGTAGAAGCCCACGCCGTATCTTGTTTTAAATCAATTGAATTTGACCACACACGTGCGGGGTCATGGGGATCATGTTTATTTCTCAGTAATTTCATTTTAAGTGGACCTATAACAACACGAAATTATAAATAACATTTTGAAAAGACGAAACGATAAGTTTACTCGCACAATTTAAACAGATCTCACGTTGATACATCTCAGTATAGCACTACACTCTAATGCACACGATTTCGTAAAACGATAAAAAAAAATAAAAAAAAAACGACGAAACACTTGAACGTCACAGCGAACGCGATGAATTTATAATATAATAATCTAACCTAACGCGATGTAAATTTTTGTTTTGCAGAGATCCGGTGGACTTGATGTTCCTGGAACACCAGTACAACCAACACCTGCTCAGTCGAGCGGCCACGCCCATGTTCTGGCCGTCGTCCCAGGACGGCGGCGTCGTCCATCCCGGACAGCAGTCGGCAATGGAACAGCACCATCAACACCAGCTGAACCAGCAACAGCATCAACTGCAACAGCAGCAGCACCACCTGCACCACCAGCAACAGCAACAGCAACAGCAGCAGCAACAGCAACAGCAGGACCAGAGCAACGGCGGCGGCAATTCGGGATTCATGTTGGCCGCCGCGGCCGCTGCCCGGGCCCAGTTCCACATGTTGAACAACGCGGCGGCCGCGGCCGCGGCGTCTGGCGGTGGCAGGGCGCAGGCCGGCGGCGGCGACGGCGGCAGTGGCGCCGGCGGATCGGCCGCCCAGCACTACCAGCACTCGGCCGCGGCCGCGGCGGCCGCTGCGGCCGGCATGCACTCGCTCATAGTGTACGGCAACCACTTCCAACAGTCGCAGTCGCGTTTCGCGGCCGCCGCAGCCGCCGCAGCAGCGGCCGCGGCTTCGTCGTACCCGGGACCGCCACCCCCGCCGCACCCGTCGTCCATGTTCACGGGCCGCAGTCGCAGTACCCGAGGTACGTGTCGGCGGCCGCCGCGGCTTTCCAACCGCCGCCGATGCCGCAGCAGCAGCAGCAGCAGCCCGTGGCCTCGTCGTCGTCGTCGTCGTCCACGGTCGGCCCGCCGCAATCGCCGCCGCAACCGTCGCTCCAGCAGCAGCACCCGCCGCCGCCGCTGCCGCTCCAACAGCAGCCGTCTGCGTCGACGTCGTCGTCGTCGTCGTCGCCGTCGTCGCCGCCGTCCACCGCCGCCGCGGCCGTCGTCCACCTACACCACCATCACCCCGGCGCCGGCGCTGCCGCAGTGCACCAACAACACCTCCACCAGCACCACCACCACCCGCGGTCGTACAGTCCCGCTCGAACGCCGCCCGGCGCCGGCGGTTCGTCTTCGGCCGAGTCGCTGCCGTCGCCGGACGTGGACGGCAGGTCGGCCACCAAATATCAGAAGCGCCGTTCGCCGTCCGCCGCCAGGTATTCGCCTTTCGACGCCACCAAAGCCGCCGCCGCCGCGGACGAATCGTAATTCGTTCCGCTTCGCGCCCGTTTTGTTTTTTCCTGTACGAATCTCCTCGCCCCCCTTATTCCTTACCCCCCCATTCTCTATCCTTGAACCCTCCTCGCCATAACCCGTTTTGTAAATATATATTGTATCATGTTTATATGTATATATTATATATAGTATTATTCATCCGCCGGACGCTATACTATATTATGTGTTATATTATATTAAACTCATAATTATATTATATATACCTACTATACTTACTATAGTACTTATTATTATATACTACACTATTACCTACTAGGTACTTAATACTTACTATATAATAAGATAATATTAAAAATACGTAGGTATATTATACCGTATTACTGTTTATACCTCGACTTACTTTCGTGTGTACTCTGCGTACCACTTTACGGTTCGTGTTTTTAAGGGCTTTTTATGTAGCGCGTTTTCCTCGGGTAACGGCGACTAAAACGGTGGTTTTCCGGTTTTCGTTTTTAACGCGTGACCTGAGTTTTTTTTTCGTTTTAATTTTACGTATAGAAAAATATTTATATATAAATATATATATATATATATATATATTTAATACCTCCCCTAATTCTGGGAATCGTAAAACAACCCTTGCCCCTCCGACACCGCTGCAACCCAAGTGCACGCCGCCGCGCGTAGGTACCGCGGTGTAGCGTAGATACATGAGGTGCGCGAGATCTATGTGCAATATATTATTATAGTATTACTTCGTCGTGTTTTTTTTTTTCATTTCTTCCAGTTGTTATATAATATCATTATAGAATATTATGGTATTATAGTCTTCGGTTTGCCAAAATAAAACGCGATTTTAATACAAAATATTATCTATAGGTACGTACGTCCGCGACATGCGCAAAGTCGTAAATATCCTTTCATTATGTGTTTATTATATTAATTGTTTAGAAAACGACTCTCGTCTACGTGCGCAGATGGAATACGACATAATCACTAATAATTTAATTTATAATACTATATCTATGAAGACCGACATAATTGGTTGTAGTCTATTTGATGGTGTGCACTGTAGCCCCGACAGACGGCAACGAGTTCTTAAATAATAACGAACGGCAAGAATAAAATTATTACAAAAACGATTAGTATTATGATTTGTATCTTGGAAATTCTCGCAGTTACTAAAAAACAATCATTCCTTATCGATGATTCATTATTTTTAAATATACTTTTGGTTAGTTTTGTTTTCCTTTTACATATGTACTTATTAATAAAAACCCAAAACTGTTTCCTGATTCGTATTTCTAGGTTTTACTCGATTCAAGTACACACATAAATAAATGTATTGATGTAATATACAAATGTACATTGTATATTAGATAAACATAGATAGGTAGGGTAATGGATTGATAAAAACTAGGTACCAAAGATGTTTTTTATTATTATTATTATTATTATTATTATGCGTTTCGCTCTGCAGATGGCTGTCGCGAAATGTGTCGTGCGTGTAATTATTTTTACGTACGCTGTAAATACCGTTAGAATTTTTTTTTATTTATTTAATTATTTACTTACTCGATATGTTTATGTAAAATTATATTATATTATTATAATTATTAGATATTTTTTATTAAATCATATATCTCGCTATTATATAAATTATTATATTTAATATTAACATAAAAAAAAAAATAAATAAATAATAATAATATTAATATAAATATAAATAACAATAATTGTAATGTATGAGTATTTGTTTTGAATTTTCTGTCGTACCTAAATAATATACACACATATATATATATTATATATATCGTGTGATTTGTACATAATATTTAAACCGTTTTACTCTTAAGTAACACTATTGAAATCATAATAATATACATATTATCGTGTAAGTGAACGTTTTATGTGTAATAAACAATATAGAGTATAATCGTATATAAACAATATGTGTCTTGATTTTTATAGTTTACCAGATCCTTTCAAACGTCTTTTCATATTATTATAAGTATATATACAACGGTCGGGCGGTTATCTTTAAGGTAAATACGCCGCCAAGGATTTTAATGCAGCTCACCGACCTTCTGCGACGGAAATGGTATGTTAACGTAAAACCATATTTTAAACTTTAAAGGAATGCAGTTAAACGTTGTTTTTATTTTTTTGATGAAAAAAAATAACACAATCATTAAACCATTGTCGACTCTATAATCAGCCTAATTCATATATATACATGTCTGACATGCAAAAATTAACAACCACTGTCCATTTAAAATACGTGTATAATATTATTATGTATGTTGTATATGTATAATAATAATAATAATAATACTATGTAATATTGTGTTAGCACGCCAGTACGTGATTATGGGTAGAACACGATTACTAGCGGTCCTTATCGACAGCACCTCTTTGAATAACACGACTGCGAACATTTTATGTATACTAACTTTTAAATGCAATCGATACGTCAACGATTTGTTGTTACCAATACACTGATCACAAACAAGTAATATTTAATTTAACAGATATCGCATGTTTACGAAATACTATATTTTATGGGACTGCTGTAGTTTAACGTTTTTTTATATTTTTTTTATATATAAAAAAAAAAGTAACATAATCGATAAACAATTTTCGACTCTAATCAGTCTAATTCGTATATACGTGTCTGTCATGCAAAAATTAGCTGCCACTGGCCATTTAAAATATATATGTATGTTATGTAGGAATTATATATATTACGTTAGCAAGTCGATACGACGATACGTGATTATTAACTGTCAAATGCGAACAAAAAAAAAAAAAAAAAAAAACACCTGCAAACTTTTATCCGCATAAAATCAATAGTAGCTAGTACTCATATAAAATAATTATTTTGTAGTTCATAATTAATATATTTTCAACGTTTCTATTATTAAAATAAAATAACTATCAAATTACGATATGTAAAAGTGATGCGGTTTTATAATTTAAAACAATTTTTTGATAATTCAATAATATTTTCGAAGTGGTATTGTGGTCGCTATAAATAAGTCGATAAAATTTATCAAAAAAGTGTTTTTAAATTATAAATGTAAATTTCACAAATATAATAATAGTACCTACTCGTATAATATATACACTACTGCATATTATATATTATTATTAAATTAATCTAATAACTTGAAAAGTAGGTACAGTTTTACAAAGTGTAAATATATATTTATAAACTGTGTTTTATGTGATCGTATATTGCGATTACTATTATAGATTTTGTATAATAGTAATTGGTAACATAAAATCTAATAATATTTTCACACTGCAAAGGCAATCTTTTTTACAACTGCACATTCGTATATTTATTTTAAAAAACACATTTAAAATAGTCTATATATAGTATGTATACAATGTATAAACCATTCAAAAGTTGATTAATATATCTTCTCCGTCTATCATAAATATTTTAAAAAATTATATTTTTTGAAATAATAATCATCCATGGAATAAAATATAATATACTAAATAGAATATAGACTATTTAGTTACTATAGTCATAACTAAGACTAGGATAGAACATCAATTAGACATCAGTTTTGACATAAATTAATAAGATAATTTTAAATATCAAACGTCAACGAGCCGTTTTATCATTTGGTCTCTATAACCTTTTTGAAATTAAATAATTACAAGATGTTATTTTATCAAAAGATGTGTGATTTTTTTTTGCCTTTTTTTATATATAAAACACAATATAGGTTTTTTTTTTTTAGGTACGACGTATTAGTTGCAGTTGCCCATCCACGGTATATACAATATATAAACCATGAATATAATTAGTTAACAAAATATGTTTAGTTCGATTTAAATATAAAAAGCTATTGAATTGAGATTTTTCCATTCTCGTTTCAGAAATAAAATTACCACCCGGGGTAAATGGTCCGTTTGGATACCATCCTAAATACAGCCTTGACCATAATATTTATCGAACCTTATAAAAATCACACACGGAGGGCGCAAACCGACGAATGCGCCTGACCTTTACGTATTATAATATATTATACTCGTATGTATTTGTCCGTAGCGCTGACGACGTCGAAAACATAATATAATAACGATATTGTTGTCTGAAAACGTTTTACTAAGCATATTAGCCATAGGGTGTAAGTATAGTTTGTTTCAAGGGCGCGCATCGTCCATACATCTGGAGGACCTCGTGGGTGGAGGGTTGGTAAATGCGACAAGAAATTAGCTGTTGGTTCGCAGTCGAAAAAACACTACAGAATATTATGCGTTATTACTTATTAGTATATGTACAGTCTCGCGAAATAATAATAGAGATGTGCTCGCGTTATGTGGGTTCAGTGTCGTCGCCCGTCGGTTGTACCTTTGCTGTCGCCATGCATATAAGTTAAGTGGTTAAGTCGTGTAGTGGTGGTAGTAACAAATAAAAAATAAATAAAAATAATTGCTAAGAAATTTTATAACTCTTTTTTTCTAGTAGGTAATCAGCAGTAAAAACTACAGAGCTATAGTTATTCAAAATAATTCATCTGCAGGTGCTTGGCGCTTGCTCATCGATGTTAAACCCGATATTACTTCACGTTGTTGTAATAAATTCTTTTGGGGTTTTGGTATATTATAATATGTTAAACATTCTATGTAAGTACCACAGACCACAATCATCATTAATCATATTGAGTTGAAAATATCGACGGTGTTTTATCACAACGGAAATGCTGGAACAAGTATATATAAGACGAATTTGACTAACAATATTGGTCGTTAATGCGGTAATAAATAAGAGTCGTATAAAAGATTTATGTGTAATATTGTATGCCAAATTTCAAATAATATTATTATTTAACTAAATGTATCAATTATCACTTTAAGCTTAAAATTTTAAAACATAAAATAATTTAAAACCTAATAAAATATTTAAAATACCCGATTCATTCATGAAGGGTTAATTATCCGGCGAAAAAATATACTAATTGATATTCGGAGAAATGCTTAATAATTTTGGCATTTATTGATTAGTATAAAATCATGTTATTATCAGTTAATCTGCATTTCTTTAAAATTTGAAAATTATTCTGTGGTAATAATTTTTACAGTTTTTACTTTTAAATTTTAA